TGGTAGAAGCCCCGAGGGGTATTTTTAGTCTGCCGCCCTACCCACTCCTGCTAGTCATATGCTTCAGCAGCCGCAGTGTTTCCGAAGCTGTTGCATCCTGTGAGACCCCCCCAAATGCCATCTTGGTGGGGAGGAGGCCACAGCCTGAACCTAGGGAGAAGGACTAGGGCTCTGGCAGGACTTTTTCCTGTAGTCACAGTGCTGTTTTTTCTGCTGAACTGTGTCGTGCACAAATCGGATCTTATTGCACAGAGCAATTTTGTACTGAGACATCATCTTTTCCCCGTCTCCTTCAGCTGCAGCCTGGCTGACCCAGGGCCAGTGGAAGTGGATGCTCCAGTTGGCTGGATCCAGTATTAAGATGGGTATGTCCCCTACGAGTGCCATGCATGACACCTCAGCAGAGCTGATGCTGGCAAAGAGGCCAGTCAGGAGGTGTTGGATAACCTGTGGCTCTGCTAGGAGAGAGGATGGAGGCAGGAAAGGGTGCAGGAAGGAGATAAGTGGAGGTGCTGGAGGGGGAACAGGGGATTCAGACTAGATAATAAAAATTTTTTTTTATGTGAGGGGTAGTGAGACACTGGCACATGTTACCCAGACATCTAGTTGATGCCCCGTCCCTAGAAACATTCAAGGCTAGGTTGTTTGGGGCTCTGAGCGGGTAAGGTGTCCCTGCCCATGGCAGAGGGGTTGGATTGAATGGCCTTTAAAGGTCCTTTTTACCCCAAATCATTCTGTGCTTCTATGATTGTATGCTCTTCATCCTGCTCAGGGTTGCTTTCCTGTCTGAACTTCCTCTGACTTCACTGCTCTTCTTCCTTCTCTATTTTACTTTCAACAAAGTGGTTGTCTCCTGCAGAGGATTTTAGGCATTTTGTCCCCTCTCTTCTATGCCTCCCTCCTAGACAGAGCTGTCTGACTGTGCAGAGCAGATGAAGGAGCACCTTGCTCATTTGGGATGATGTTTCCACCCAGGAGAAGCACCCGTGCCAGGACCTGTATCTGCCAAAGACCTGGACATGGTACAGAGGATATGGACGATGGTTGATAGGAAAGGGCATTTGTCCAGGTTTGGGGCTCCGTGTTAGGGCCAGGACACCAGCCCAGCCCAGAGATCAATCCTGCCTTTCTGTGTCTGATGCTGCCTGCCCCAGAAGCATAAGATCTCATGGTGTTGTGGTAAAACTCTCTGTGTGACAGCAGTACCCGAAACACTCTCTGGCAGGTGCAGCTCCCCAACGAACAAGGGGCTGCTGGAAGGGGCCCTCAGCACCATCTGGAGCTGAGATCTGCCTGGCACCTATGGGCTCCCTGCAGGGGGAGGACATCTTGAAGAAAAACTCAATACCCAAGACCTGGCTGGGGACCACTGTTGTCTTTTCTGCTTGTGTGCCCAAGGCCCTATGTTGCAGCTGGTGGGGCAGAAGTCCTGAGCTGGAGGCAGGAACAGAGAGGGTGGGCAGGGGCAAAGCATGTTTGGGTGGTGCATGGTGAGAGGTGGCCTGATGCTGGGAATCATCTGCCCCCCTATATAGCACAGTGGCCTGGCCATGCCTCCCCTGAGCAGAACTTGTGGGGTCCTCTGACAGGGCAGGGGGGTGAGAACAGTTGAGGTGAGCCAGAGCTCCCATTTACCCTCTGTGTCTGCCCACATCCCAGGGAGAAAGATCGAGAGAAAGAGGAAGAGGTGAGGGGGCTGCATGATGCATGCAGCAAGGCTGAAGAAGCAGCAGCAGCAGTAACTGTGGGAGGAGAAAGAACCTGTGGGATCCCAGTCTTCTACCCAGCTCAGCAGTTACTGCGGTGGCTCCCCACCAATTGGAGAATCAATGTGTCAGGGAGGGGCCCAGAGGTCCTGAGCTGAAGGCTGGGGATGCGTGGGAGGAACAAAAGCTGAAATAAGTTCTTGAGGACGAAGTGCTGTGACATGCTGGGGCTGGGAACAGCCCAGACAGAAGGAAAAGGCAGGGAAAGAGGGTCCCAGGAAACAGCACTAGGAAAAAGATACTCAAACATCTAAGCTGGGTTTTCCTGACTCTCCCTCCCCACCAATATTACATTGTCCTATCTCTGTTCTTGTGGGACGCATCAGCACCAATGCAGATGACGATGGCTTTTGGATTTCAGACCTGACTGGAGAAAGATTTTTGCTGTCCTCTCAACCCCCGCACAGAGAGAAGGAATACTTTGGGTCACCCCCCCTCCCGCTCCTGGCACCTCCAGCTCAGGCTGCTCCTGCATAACTTGTGTAATTATGGGGATGGGGCTCCCAGAGAGCAGGTGACAAACTCTACCACCTAGTCCCAACTGTAGCACACTGCTAGGGAGCCCCAACTGTGCTCTAAACACCTGGGGATGGGCCTGGCAACTCCCCTTTCCTTCCCACCAGCTCCTGGTGCGGAATCCAGTTCCCCTCCCCAAGACCCTCCTGTCTTGGTGGGAGCCATTCCCCTGCTCTGTTCCCACTGGCACTGGTGTTCAGTGCTGGAGAGATCATGGGGTGACCTGTGACAGTCAGCCTCTCACCCAAAATGTCCCCAGTCGACTGCTCCTCTCCGACTCCTCCCCTCAACACGCAGTTTCTCTTCCCCTTTTTTGGATGGTGCCTGCACTGGGGGCAAAGGCAGAACCAAAACCACAACCAAAGGCAAGTCTGAGGGGTGCACCTTGGTAGCATCGAAACACTGAATACTTGCTTCCATGGAGCTGTCCCAGAGAGAAGTAGGGATGCTGTGGCAGCCTCGTAGGCCCAGAAATGACACCAACTTCCCCAGCACCATGACACAGGGGATGTCCAGCTATGCCACCACAAGGTCCACATCCCTCCCACTAGTCCTAGACCCAGGGGAGTGTCCTTGGCTGTCAAGATGGCAAAGTGCAGCCATGGGGCAGCCAGGGAGGGAAGAAACAAGGGGGCTTTTGTCTCTGCAGTCCTGCAGAGGTGAGGTGAGGTGATCACTTGTCCCCATGGTCTCCCCTGAGATGACTGCTGGTCACTTCTTGCTGAGCAGCTGAGAGGGCCGTTCACATCCTTCTGTCCTGTGCAGGTGCATGTGACACTACTGGTGTCTGAGTTGCTCATAGGACAGGACCAGGCACCTGGTCACAATGTCTTCAGCCCCTTTGGAAATTCCTCCAAATGTCTCCCACTGTTGCAGTGGATCTGCTTTAAAGTTCCACTTAAGCCCTTCCACTTCTCTATTGAATATACTTCTAATGCTTGGAGGTTTTTTCACTTCCTTTTCTTTGCTCACAACTTCTTCCTCCTTCATATTGTCACATCTCTGTTATGAAAATGACCCAAGGGGACAGGGGGCTGTTGGTCCACACAGACCATTGGTCCTGAGAGTCCTCTCAAGTGACCGTGGTACTCAGAGTCACTCCCAATTCCCCATAGTTCCCTCAGGTGCCATTGGTCCTTACAGTCCTCTCAGGTGATTACTGGTCCTCACTTTCCCCCTGCCCTAGAGGACTATAGGATTTTAAAGTTCTCATGTGGCCATTGGTCCTCAAAGACCCTACAGGTGACATTGGTCCTTGCAATCTCCCCTGAGGTGATGGATGTAACCCCCAAGCCGTGCCTGGGTGAGTTGGGGTGGAGTGGACAGAGATGCAGTGCCTCTGGGTGCTATACTGGGTGGATGGGTGAGCAGCAGCAACTGCTGCACTGGGCTGTGATGACGGGCCTTAAGAACCCTCTAAAAATGCCTGGGTAGGGCTTGTTATTATAAGGTCTCTTAGGGGATGTGAGCAAATACTTGCAGATACCCCCCTGCTACCAGGTGTTTGTGGGTCTGGTAGTGTAGGGCCTCTTGGGAGGTCATTCACATGAACAGCTTTCCTCAACAGGTTTCCTCACTGGCTGCACCTGCTCTCCAGTCTGCCCGGTCCTGTGAGTGCTTCAGGATGTTCCACTTTGCTTGGGAGAGGAATTGCCCCATTTACCCTGTGGGTGCCAAGGCTGCAGGGAGGCATGCCCACAGCTAAGAATTTTATCTGTCTGTCCCAAGTCAGCAGGAGCTGGGAGAGGCTTGGTGTTACTCCTCTTGCAGAGAGGTCTTTGAGCCCTGTGAGCAGATGACTCTGGCTGCTAGGGAAACACAGTCCTCCCCCCAGCAATGTAGTTTCCAGATTCTGGCCAGGGGAGAACAAACACCATTTGATTTGTGGTAGATATGGCCACAAGCCAGCCAGGTTTTCTGGCTTGCATACAGCTGCCAGACTTATCCTGGGAAACTTTGCAGGAAGTTGTCCAGTGAACCCAAACCTTTTGAAGCTACATGTTCAAATTGATTTGGATTATGAACTACATGCCTTCCTGTGTGTGTGAACTCTGCTATCTTTGATGGAACATGGTCTTCTTTTTTCTCCTTTATTAGGAGCCTCGGGGTCACTTTACCCTCCATGTGCACAGTTGCTTATTCCCATGCAATATGTGAGAACACGTTCATATATGCACAGGCACACATGTACGGTTTTTTCCCCCATGCCTTGGTGCTTTCTGCAAGTAGTGCAAATAGTTCAGCAGTGGTTCAGCTTCCATACATGGTTGATCAAAACCTTTTTAAGCCCATTCAACTGCTAAGGAAAGGCACATGATCTTAGTGAAAATATGAATGGTTTATTTTCATTTCATACACATCTACCACTCCCACACCAGAGTTTCCGTGTTACTCAGCACTTTGTAAAGCCATTTCTGGCCAGGTTCTGTTAGTCTGTGTGGAAAAGTTCAGTCTCAGCACAAATATTTCTGGAATATGGTTAATAAAGGCAATTTTTAGGAAAAGAAAGTGACCGTAGAAGGGGACAGCTTTCCACCTTCTGACAGAACTGTTACTGAAGCAAAACCAGGAGAATTTGCCATTGGGCATTGAGATGCCCTAGAGCATCAGTGGGCAGACTGGCCAGTGCCACAAGCTAAGAGATGATCATATGTAACAAGTGAGGAGCTCTTAGACTTGCATTTATGTCTGTTTAGAAAATTCAGGTGACTCAAAAGCTCAGGTTTCTCTTGCCAGGTTTTTCTTGTACATCTCTGAATTGAATTAGTCTTGCAATTGGCAATGCCCAGAACTTTTGTGAAGCAGAAAAAGGTAGTTCTTGTTGCTTTGAAGGCAGTGGGAGGGAATGGGGACTGTTGCCTCCCTTCTGAGCTAAGCTTCTTTGCTCAGGATGGAGTTCCTGGACTCTGATTCCTCCATCTGCTGGTGCTTTCTGAAATGAGAGGGGGACAGCTCGATGCTTCATAGCAGAGATCTTGTAGGAGTGCAGACAGCGTCTGGCAGGGCCAGAGCAAGAGCTTTGCTGCTCAGTGCAGAAATCCCCTGGAAATTTCCTCCCCTCCTCTTTCACTGCCACTCCATGGGGCAGACAGGGACTCACCTTTGTCTCCACACCCAAAGCACTGATATGGCAGCAATGGCCATGGCAGCAAGCAGTCCGGCCATGAGCCCTGTGATCAGCACCACTTCTGAGTTCCCTGGGAAACAAGCAGAAGCTGCCATGAACTTTCTGGGTTTTGCTCCATCTTATGGGGCAGGGTGGCTCAGTACCCCCATCTCATCCCCATGGGTGGCACCTACCCCATGGGATGAGAAGGCTGCGTGTGCCCAGGCTGTGGTGGCGCACACGGCAGACATAGCTGTGCCCATCACGGGGGGCCACGGCCAGGACGCTGCGGAGCTGGTAGGTGAGGTCAGCGTTGGGCAGGATGGTGCTGGTGTTGAGCGCTGGGCCTGGAGGCACCTCCTGGCCATCCCGCAGCCAGGCCACGCTGATGGGACGGGGGTAGAAACCAGTGACATGGCAAACAAGCAATAGCTGATCTAGGCTGGGGGTGCGGGCGAAGACCGTGGCGACAGGCAGCTCTGGGGAATGAGACCAAAGGGGTGAGGCAAGCCCTGGTGGGGCACAGCTAGGCCCCAGTGTGGGGGGCTTCGAGATAGCTGTTGCAGGGTCAGGGTGATCTCACCTTGTCTCTCCACAGCTGCCCTCCCATAGTGCAGGAACATCTCCATTTCATCGACACAAGTATCATTGAAAATAATTTCCACCAGCTCATTCAAGGCAGTGTAGTTCTGGAGAAATGACTGGACATACCGTGACAACTTGGTGTCCTGGGAGAGGGTCCAGGTGACATTCTCTGTGTCAAAGCTGAGGAAATCCTGACCATTGTAACCTACATAGGCAAAGGCCTGGGAGGTTCTGTTGGGGTACAGCATGCAGCCTGCCATGCACTGAACCACAAAGGGGTCTGCTGGGGCAGAGAGGAGAGGGAGGTTACATGAGGAGCTAGGATTGCCTTCCTGAAGACATGGTCAGTGTCTCCTATACAGTGCCAGCACTATCAGATACTTCCCCACTTCCCAGCTGCTTTTCAGAAAGGGATGTAATGAAGACTGGGCACTCACAAGGAACATCCCTTTGCACGGCCTCTTCGTTGATCAGATGGCTGAACTTCTGCAAATAGACCTTAAGCAGGTTCTCGATGGTGTCCCAGTCAACGTGGGGCAGGGCTGGGCGCACCCAGGGCTGGCAGAAGTGGATGGACCATGTATGTTTATCAAGAGAACCAAGTTCGATGTCTTCCAGCAGGCCCAGTCCCTCTGTGTCCGTAAATGAGGTGTTTTGGAAGGTGGTGGTCTGGAGCAGTCGAAGAGTGAAGGCACCTATATGAGACAAGGGTTGACAGGGAGGAGATGGGACTGGGAGAAGAGGGCTGAGGAAAGTAGGGGAGCTGAGGGGTGGGTCTTTGAGGTTGCAGGGATCCGTGGGACCCCATAAGCCCCTTACAGCCTTTGCAGCCCCAGTTCCCATCCCCTGCACCCAACTGTGGTGGCTGCATCCCTGCTAAGGAGGAGGTATGCAGCCAGCGGACAAGGAGTGAGGGAGCAAGCACCCAAGGTGGGTGGGGAGCAGGAAGCCTCTCCCCTATGGAGTCCCATGAAGGTAGTCAGGGGTCCCACTTACCCTGAAGGTTTGCCCATGTAGCAGAGAGGAGGAGGAGGTAGAGGAGGAGGGAGAGAAGGCAGCAGTGAGAGGACTGCATGGTTCCAGCAGTGAGGCCCAGAGTGTGCAGCAGTGGATGCAGCAGCAGGAAGAATGGACTGTTGAGAGATGTGGCCTCAGATGTCTCCTAAGGCTGGCTCTGCCTGGGTAGCTCTGCTGGTGCTAATGGCCCTGGCAGCCAATGGAGCTGGCACTGAGGTTTAGGGGAGGGCTCTGAGGTTTCCCACTTGGGAGTGAGCTGGAGCATCTTGAGTATGGCTGTGAGTGCTGGGGGAATTTGATTGTGAGCAAGGTCATTCCATTGTGTGCAGGAGTGGTCCCTCTTGGCTGCAGCAGCACCTTTGTAATCAGGGTGATATGGGTTAACTGAGGCCTCTGTTCTACCCCCCTTTCAGATGGACGCGTCACTTGGCCATGAGCTGCATCCATTGCCCTGACAGGAATGTTCCTTACTTGTGCCTGGAATATCTGGCCCTGCATAGAACAGACATTACCACCTGCTCTGTGCTGCCACAGAGCTGTTCACAACAACATGGCTGTTTTTCCCACAGGGCCTCATGCCTGGGCTCTCTATGCCCCCAGGTTGTGCACTGGTCCCATGCCTCTTTGTCACCTCCCAACCATACTTCAACCAGGCTACGCTGATGGGTCACAGTTATATAAGCCAGTGATGTGGCAAACCTGCAGGAGAGCTGGGCCATGACCTTGGAGAGCTCTGAGGGATAAGAAAGTGAAGGAGAAAAGCTGATGATAATATCCCTTGACCCCTCAGCACTGCTGGTCTCATCCTGGGGAAGGGACTTCCCAGAGTTGAGGTGATGACCACTTCCAGCCTGGACCACAACTGTGGGGTTATGGATGGTTGCAGGAATAGCTGGAGGGAGCAGTCCTCCAGGAGCTCTTCTTGGAGTGCAAGAAATGAAGGGACTAGAGCAGCTATAGTGTGGTGGTCCCCAAGGGGAAAGATAGTCTGGAGGCCCTGGAAAGGACTGCTTCCACTGACAATCATCAGAATCCTGGAGAAGCTGGCTGGACAGGATCTTCAAGCTGGGACCTGCACTTTCTCTCCTCCTTTCCTGGGGGTGCCCATGTTGAGGGCAAAGGCAGAGCTGAAGCCACAGCCAAGGGGAAGTCTGAGGTGGGGTGCCCTGATAACAACCAAACACAGCAGGGGCAGAGGTATCCATGTTGGTATGTGACCTCTCCAAGCACAACTGGGACCAGGTATCACCACTCTGTGTCACCATTTTTGGTGTCTCCAGCTGCAGGGACATGAGGGAAGCCTATATAGGGCTGTTGTAGGCTGAGCTCTAGCACCCCATAACACTGAGTCAGACATGGGGACAAAAGGACACCAAACCCCTTCCCTTCCATGGAGCTGTCCCAGAGAGAAGTAGGGATGCTGTGGCAGCCTCGTAGGCCCAGAAATGACACCAACTTCCCCAGCACCATGACACAGGGGATGTCCAGCTATGCCACCACAAGGTCCACATCCCTCCCACTAGTCCTAGACCCAGGGGAGTGTCCTTGGCTGTCAAGATGGCAAAGTGCAGCCATGGGGCAGCCAGGGAGGGAAGAAACAAGGGGGCTTTTGTCTCTGCAGTCCTGCAGAGGTGAGGTGAGGTGATTACTTGTCCCCATGGTCTCCCCTGAGATGACTGCTGGTCACTTCTTGCTGAGCAGCTGAGAGGGCCACTCACATCCTTCTGTCCTGTGCAGGTGCATGTGACAAAACTCAAAAAACATGTGGTTCCAGGCATGTCGAGATGAGGTCCAGTGTACACAATCTGCTTGTATCTACTCATATTTCATTTCTCCTTACTGGTGGAAATAATCACTAGATATGAAATTGCTAAATCCCACAAACTTCACAGGAACAAAGACAAACTCAAAATGAAGTACTCCCCCCTTTCAAGATGGCATCCACCACGGCAACTATGTTTAGTGAGACAAAGGGAAAATAGAGTCAGCCTTTCACCCTACTTATCTCTCCATCAACAAAGGCAGCTGGCACATTCCAGCAGGTGATACTCAGCAAACAGCTAGAACTCATGCACTTTGCCTTCCATGTGGCAGAGAACATCAAGGCAAAGCAAGGCAAGGCAAAGCAGCTGGGCTGGGTGACTTGGTGCCTTCTTGCCTCAGCTGGGCACTGCTGGCAAGCTATGGGCAACTCAGACTGAAGCAAGGCCACTCACTTCTTTCTAGCACAGTACTGCTGACAGGCACTCCTGGAATTTGCCTTGAGCCAGTCCAGTATGCAAGAGAGGGACAAAAGGGAGAGGGAAAAAAGAAAAAACAACAGAAAAGCCCAAAGCAAAGATTCTGCCTTGAGCAAAGACCACAAGGCAAGAGGGGTCTGTCTGAGAGACCCCGACTTTGAAAAGAAACCCCAGCAACCCCTGTCCCTCACGAGTCAACTTCCAGCCGTGGTGCTGTATCTTAAAGAGACAGTATCAAGTTTGAGCACAGATAGATTTGGACTACAATACAACATCTTGGCTTACTCAGGACACATGCTCAGTTGAAGTAGATCAATTTGGCTTCCTTCCTGCCCTTTCCCAGGCTCAGCTTCCCCTCAGACTTCTCTCTTGCTCATTACATCTTCAAGTCACACTCGAATGCCACTAGCCAAGCACAGGGTAACAGGGGCTGTGAACAGTGTGACCTCTTGCTTTGCCTCTGCTCCCCCCTGGCTTTTCTGCAGATTGCAGTCCCTTCAGGGGTAGGAGGGGGTGGCCCTGGCTAGCAGGTGACCCCCCATCCTGCTGCTCACCCACTCCCTCAGGGGGACGGGGGAGAGTCTCACAAAGGCAAATGTGAGAAAACACTCATGAGTCAAGATACAGACAGTTTAACAAGTAAAAGAAACTCTCTCAGGAAATACTTCATCACATCACACTGTGGCCAAGGCTGGCAGGGAACTCTGGAGGCCATTGGCCCAAGCCCTTGCCTAAGCAGAGTTACCTACAGACAACTGCCCAGCTCAGGGGGTGGTTCAAGAATGAAAGATCATTTATAAAGCGTAAGTATGGTGGCAAAAAGCTACCCGAGCGTGGCCTTGGCATGTCTGAAATCTTAAATTCCAACCTCATCCCATTATGTACTGAGTACATAAATAATTACCTAAGTTAGTAGTAGTTAGTAGTGTAGCGGCAGTATCTAATGCAAAGTATTTATCCATAATTTTGACCTTTTCAATGCTGTCCATCTAATACTAGAAACCTCTGCTTCTTCTTGGAGGGAAGAGTATCTTCTGCATGGTAAGTCTGATTTAAAATAACACACAATTCTAAGGTGATGCTTATTTTATTAGAATATACGTAACGTGAAATTCACAATTTATGACACTTAAGGATCAAAATCTAAAAAGTTTCTTGCTCTATTTCAAAACCTCTAAGATGCGAAGAAAAACCCAACATGTTCTAACCCAACATCTTCAGAATGTTACTTTGAAAACATTAGCAAAGTAAAATTTAATTTAAAGCACTTAATAGCTGAGACAAACAATGTGAAAAGCTGAATTACAGAGGAACAGTGCAACCCAATATTCATACTACAAATCTACCTTTTCACAACAATCAGTATTTCCGGGTCAATTTTTTCCACCAAAAAGATGTTGTAGTGGCGAAAAGATGATGCTGGGGAAACAATAACAACAAGAAGAGCACATTAGACTTAAAATACTTCTCTGAAAATAGGGAAAAGGCTAATTTCTGTCCAATAGAAAGATACAATGCCAGTACAAAACAATACAGAGGGAAAATTAAAAAACAGAGGAAACAATGAATAACTTGTGCACTAATAGTCTGGTCTCAGTCATTAAAGGAATGGCACACACTACAATTAACAAGGAGTTTTATTTTTTAAAAAACTAACAAAAAACCAGCAGCTGCCAATATCCAGCTGGTGCTGTGCAGTGATGGACGGCACTCACAGGATCCAGCCTCGGCAGCATGAGAGAACTCCTCTGTGCAGTCAGCCAGTGTCTGCACAGTGACACTGATTTCCATTTAAAATGGTGCCTTTGGGAGTCAGAGTTACAATGTCCAGCTTTGCACAGTAGCCAAATAAAGGTCACATGCACCTTAATGGGGCTGAAGGTCCATCCAGGAAGACCCTTTTAGCTGGAACTTCTCAGCTGAGAAAAGCTACTTTGTATAAGGGTTGTGATGGAGGTTCAGTGACCCTCTCTCATCAGTTTTTCCTGAAAACAGCTCAGAAGAGGAACATTTAGTTGGAATGCTGCCCTTAAGCACAAGATAAAATGACATCCTTTTTTTTTTTTTTTTTTTTTTTTTTTTGCCTTGGGATACTTTGGTTTAACCACAGAAAAGATGTCTCCATCCTTCAAAATCATGGAGAATAACCTGAAACTGCCAGAATTAGCCTTTGACATAGGCTTAGACAGAACCAGGACTACCTCTGCTCATCAGTGCAGGATTAGTACCTTCTCCAGAAGTGTGAAAGACCTCTTCCTTCTGACTTCACATTTCCTTTCTTTCCTGTTTGGTCCATTTGCTGCAGCAGCTGCACTGCACCCTCAGCCTGACCAGCTACTCTTTTTTGTTCAAGGGCAAATTCCACAGGTTCCCCTGTAAGAAACAGCAGCAAGAACAAAACCACAACCTCGCTCTCTACACACTCCCTGCATACCCAGAGAAAATGAAACTCAGTGGAATCCAGGAATTCCTTACTCACAGAAACTCAGTTGGTCACAGTCTTTAGTACGAGATGCTGGGCTAAACTCAAGCTCATTTGCCTTGGAGGAATTCTAAAAGAAAAAGGAACCCAAGAACTGTTACATAATGCTATATTCTATTGTACAGAGATTTTTGTTACCTTGCTTCCTAAAAGTATTAAAAAGCAAGGTCTACACTTTTTGTTGTGTGGTTTCATTTGGGTATTTTCTTCTGCTATGATGAGGACTTTCTTCACCAAGGTATTTTTACACCTCCCTTGCTAGGACATAACATAAAGCTGTAATTCATTTAGAAGACTTTAGCATACCAGATAGTGAACTAACAGTAGCTATGGAACACGGAGAGATTTTAAAAACCATGAACAGAAGAGCTGTGGGAAACAACAGCCCCTGGACAGTGCAGGCCCTGGACATTAGCCCTTCTAAGACATAGTCCTGGGACGCAGACTTAACTTGGAAGGGACAAAAATGAAAAGTGTCAGAATCAAGAGGTGGGCCAGGAATACCTATTAGGAAGGTGATCAGCAACACAAGTACCACGAAAAACAAAATAAGCATATAAAAACACAACAAAATCAGCAGGTAAGTTTCTATAAGAGAGTAAATCCTAAAACAGTGACAGGTCCCGATGGTGTTTCCCTTGCACTAATCTCAGAACCATTTAGGCTGGAAAAGCCCTGTAAGATTGAATCCAACTGCTAACCTGGCACTGCCAAGGCCATCACTAAACATGTCCCCAAATGCCACATGTAAGCTCAGGTTAACACAATATTCCAAACCTCTGATGGCCTGAGATCTTGTCAGTTTAGTCTGAGAGCATTAACTTAGTTAGGAAAATTCTCTGGAGTGACAGGGTGAGCATCTCTTTCTTTGACTTTCACTGTGTAAGTGGAAAGACATGCAGGTTTGACCACATTTATCCCGACCAGATGTCACCATCACAGGCCTAGGAGACATCTGGATGACAGCTGAAAATGCAATCCACTGAACAGTCATGTGCCTGTGGCACTTCTTTGCTCCTCATTCCGAATCCAACATCCCAAAGTTAATCCCATATGTACCATGTAGACAAGACTTCCTTCCTGTTTAACAAGACCCTTCCCTCCTTGAGGAGCATTATAAAATACTGGGTGGATTTGAAACCAAAGCCATACGCTGTTGATAAACTGAGAAAGACTCCTTGAAGAATGACCAGAAAATCTCTGATAAAGTACAGGAGCTACTGACATGTTTTTATCCTAAACCTAATCCTTCTTCTCATCCTGAATTAAAAGATAAAAACCAAACAAAACCCAAATGGAAAGCATGCCACAGAAATACCTGGCTTTCATCTTTGAAAAATGCATGTTAGGAAGAGGACTTCTGCCCATGATTTCACATAGAACTTGTGACATCTGATCTGGTGTTCATCAACAGAACAGTTTGTGTCCAGACATCCCACTCAGGGTAACAGTGCCTTGACTAGTGCAATTCTGAGAACAAGTCCTGATGCTTGTTCCAGAGAAGGTTCTTCTCACCTAGTTGGTATTTGCTGAGTTGATTTTTGCATCACAGTTCCAGTTTACCCAGAAGGCGCTCAAGACATGCCCTCCCACATTACTTAACACAAGAGGAACTTACAGTCATCTCTGCCACCTGTCATACTGTTGCTCAGGGTCCAAGCTGCTAACCTGGAGCTCCAGCTTCCAAGGACTCTAATGTCTTGGAAAGTGTACAAACAACGGAGGAATTCTGGAGGCACTGATTAGAGCAAACTGGGGGATAAAAAGCCACCTTTCAGAAGATGACCCTTATCTCACCAATAGAGTGTTTGGAGTACCCAAGGAAAGAAGCCAGAGAGGGCATGTGTAGAGACCTGTCTGCAAAGATAAACAGAGGGGGGAAAAAAGGGATACAATTTTTAGAGACAAATAAACCCGCTTGTTTTAGAGAAGTTATTCTTTACTGAAGGCTCCCAAGGAGTTACTGGGCAGTCTTCTTCCTATTCTGAAAATCCAACAAACTTGTCAAAAAACCCTCTTCTGAAAGAAAGTTTTGGGCTTCCTTTGTTGGAAAACCCAAGAAATGTGTTTGCCTCCTTGGAAAAAACTCTTCCAAAGAGTAAGAGAGGGGGAAAAAAGTCAGGAAGCTGATAGTGTGATAGGGATTTGAATTAAATGGGTATACAGAAAATAGACGAAATGCATTTGGGAGGATGTTCAACAGCCAGGAGTACACAGGCATTAGGGTGCGCCTAAGAGCAGCTCTATCAGAGCAGCCTTGGAGCCTGTGGGCTAGAAGAGAAAGAATCTTCTCCTTCTAACAAGGTTCTCTGGAGAACAGCAGCTTTAGAGAGCAACAGCCAATTCCTCTGCAACAATCTTGTCATGAATCTGCCTTCTGGTACCATAGTGAGAAAAGGCATGGTACTTTTTCAGGAACAGGGTGATGCTTGCATGGCTATAAGCAGAGAGTGGGACACTGGTGGGGAGTGGCACATGGTGCCACTCAGACACAGCAAAGCCAGTGTCAAGATGCCAGCAGCCACTGCTGGCCCTTTGTGGAGTTCTCCATAAAGGACTGTGTGAGATCACAGAGGACTGGAGTCTTAGAGAAAAGGCAGAGCATCCCTCAGGCTCACCTCTCAGAGGCTGAGCTTACCCCTGAGATTGTAGCTTGACAGTCAGGGAAGTTTGTGTCATCTCAAAAAAATATAACTCATCCCTATGCTAAGTTTGGTGAGAGTCAAAAATTATGAGGGTGATGCAGGGAAAAAGGGGATAAATTACCTGCAGGCATTTTTATGCTCGCCATTGTAAGGGTCCAGGACTAAATAGGTGCTGTTGTCTCTTTCTGAATATTCTGTAGCTTACCTTTTCAAATCCATGCTCTGCTTTACTCAGCTGGTGAACACAGTCAGCTCCAGTTCTGAAGATAAGTAAGTAAAAACTGAGTTTACAAAAAGTCACAAAAAGGAAGCAGCTACTCCAAGTACTTCACTAAAAAGCAGAACTTTAGAAGGACTCAACAAGATATATAGCCTTAATCTATATTTGTACTCATGTTTCAAAGTCTTCCTTAAAAATGAAAATATGCACTCATTTTGCTTTTCTACAAGAACAAACAAGCAGTTAAAAAGTGTTACATGAAAAGGGGGATAAGCAGATAGCTGAGAAAGCTTGTAAATCCTACAGGTCACAAGAGCGGGTAGCAAAGAACCACAGAAACATCTTGCAAGACTTGGTCATGGAGCATTAAAATGGCAGAGGAGACTCCATATGGGGAAGTATGAAGGGATGCATGTGCGAAAAACCATTCTGGCTTCACTTGACATGATCAGAATCACTGGAAGTGCCACTTGGAGATTCTGATTTCTCAACACTCAGTAGCACCCCAAGAAAACCCAAATTCCCCAAAAGAATTTAGGACCAGAAGGGCTTGTCCAGAAAGAAGAGAAGAAAAAGAGCTGGTCTTACTACAGCAGACACTCTCCTTCCTGGGGCAGGGAAGATGCTCAGCCTGAATGAGCTCCTCAGTCTCTAACAGTGTAACTGGAAAAAATGACAGAAGGCTTGAAGCTAGTGCTCACCGATTTAATTTTGAATTCAAGCATACACTTAAGAATTACAGATTGTTCTAATCATAAGTGCTGTGGAAAGATACAGGACCTAGACAGAACTCCCAGACTGGATCATGAAATAGGTCCTTTCTGACCTTGTATTTTATTAATCTACAACTTGTGTCTTTGGCTAAAAGAAATAAAAAAGCATTCTGAATCCTGGGCTCATTCTTCCCTCATGTCCAACAGTTGTACTGTGAGTAGAAACAGGCCAGGGGGATGGGGGTAGGATTAAAGGACTACATTTGCATGAACAGGTAAAGAACTGCCTTCAGACTTTGTTAATAGCTCTGCATGAAACACGTTTGGGAATTAGGTAGGATATAAGGCAACGAGGTAGATGATTGGATATTGTCTGTCCATGGGAGGGGAAAGGTGCACATAGACACTTGTGATCACTGATGGATCCAGGACTTGTTTGCTACATACTTGTGAGGATTCAGTACAGGCATAGATTTTCTTATTTTAAAAAAATACACTCTGAAAAGAATGAAGCCTACCATCCTGTAAGTAACACTGGGTCTCTGACAGGTAGTCAAGAATTAAGCCCAAGGTTAGCCAAGAGCCAGCCCTGTACCCTCACTCTGAAGGTGTCCAACAACACTCTGACCTGAACTAGGCAGGGCTTTGCTAAATCACTGCCCTCAAGCAGTGATCTCTCCCCTCTGCTCAAGGCTGCTGAGGCCCCTCTGTCCCAGCCTGAACTGGAAACCCCAGTACATGATTGGGACACATGGGGTTGAACCTAGCAAAGGGCTACAATGCAAACATGATTATGAGATTGGGGAATTTTTTTCTAAGTGAAGAGGCTTTGAGAGATGAGGCTGTTTAGCCTGGAGAAGGCTTGGGTGGGATCTTACCAATGTACACTTAATGGGAGGGAATGAATAACAGAGAGCCAGGTTCTCCTCAACTCTCTTGTCTTCTGGCAGGACAAGGGGCAAAGGACACAGACTACAAAACATTAAATTAAATTTGAACACATGAAAAACCTTTTTGACTAAAACTGTGGTCATACACTGCAGTTGGGCTGTCTGGAAGCAGGCCCAAGATTGATAAGCCTGAGTTAGGGGTGAAATCACTAGCCCAGCTGAGGTGCATGTATACCAATGCATGCAGCATGGGTAACAAACAAGAAGAGCTGGAGGCCATGGTGCAACAGCAGAGCTGTGGTGTAGTTGCCATCACAGAAACGTGGTGGGATGACTCACACAGCTGGAGCACTGCACTGGATGGCTACAAGCTCAAGACAGGAAAAGGAGATGAGGTGGAGGAGTGGCACTTTATATTAGGGAGGCTTTTGATGCCATAGGTATTGAAATAAATGATGATGGAGTTGAATGCCTATGGTTTTAATGGGAATTAAAATTAGAATTAAGGGCAAGGCCAACAAGGTTGACATTCTACTGGGAGTCTGTTATCGTCCACCCATCCTGGAAGAAGAGGTGGACAACTTATTCTATAAGCTGCTGGAGAATGTTTCAGGATCACCAGCCCTTGTTTTTGTAGGTGATTTTAATTACCAGACATGTGCTGGGAACTTAATACAGCAGAAAGGGGCCAGTCCAGGAGGTTTTTAGAGTGTGGGAAGCTTCCTTGGGAAGCAGCCCTTAAAAACAAAGGAGTTCAGGAAGGGTGAGCATGCTTCAAAACATAGATCCTGAGGTCACAGGAACAGACTGTCCTATGTGCTGAAAGATGAGCTGATGAGGCAAACGTTCAGCCTGGATGAGCAACAAGGTTTTGAAGGAACTTAGGGATAAAAAGAGGATGTATCATCTTTGGAAGGAGGATCAGATCTCTCAGGAAGCATTTAAGAGGGCTGCTAGGGCATGTAGGAAAAAATTAGGGAGGCCAAAGCTTAGTTCAAACTTAATTTGGCAACTTTTGTAAAGGATAATAAAAAATGTTTTTACAAATATATTAATGGCAAAAGGAAAGGTAAGACCAACCTTTGTTCTCTATTGGATGCAGGAGGGAACCTAGTAACTGCAAATGAGGAGAAGGTGGAAGTGCTTAAAGCCTTCTTTGCCTCAGTCTTTAGTGGGAAGACAGCCTGTCCTCAGGACAACTGTCCTTTTGGGTTGGTAGATGGTGTCAGGGAGCAGAATGGTCCCCCTGTTATCCAGAAAGAGTCAGAGAACTGCTGAGCTGCTTGGATGTTCATAAATCTATGGGACTGGATGGGATCCATCCCAGGGTGATGAGGGAGCTGGCAGATGAGCTTGTGAAGATGCTCTCTCATTTATCATCAGTCCTGGCTCAGAGATGAGGTTCCAAATGACTGGAAGCTGGCCAATGTGACTCCCATTCACAAAAAGGATGGGAAAGAGGATTCTGGTAATTATAGGCCAGTCAGCCTGACCTCAGTACCCAAAGGAATGGTTTATATTGAGTGCCATCAAGCAACACTTACAGGATGGCCAGGGTATCAGACTTAGCCAGCATAGGTTTAGGAGTGGTGGGTCATGTTTGACCAACCTGGTCTCCTTTTATGACCAGGTGACCCACCTGGTGGATGCAGGAAGGGCAGTGGATATTGTGTACCTGGACTTGAGCAAAACATTTGACACTGTCTCCCACAGCATTTTCTGGAAAAGCTGGCAGCCCACGGCTTGGACAGGAGCACTCTTTGCTGGGTTAGGAACTGGCTGGATGGCCAGGCCCAGAGAGTGGTGGTGGATTCTGCTGCATCCAGTGGTGGCCAGTCACCAGTGGTGTCCCTCAGGGGTCTATGCTGGGGCCAGTCCTGTTCAATGTTTTTATTTAAGGATGAGGGTATTGAGTCCTTCATTAGTAAATTTGTGGATGACATTAAGCTGGGAGCATGTGTTAATCTGTTGGAAGGCAGGAGGGCTCTGCCGAGAGACCTGGAACCGTTGGATGGATGGGCAGAGTCCAATGGGATAAAGTTTAATATGTCCAAGTGCTGGGTCCTGCATTTTGGCCACAATAACTCCCTGCAACATTATAGGCTGGAGACGGTGTGGCTGAGGCCCAGCCAGAAAGGGACCCGCGGGTACTGGCTGACAGCCAGCTGACCATGAGCCAGCAGTGTGCCCTGGTGGCCAGGAAGGCCAATGGCATCCTGGCCTGGATCAGGAATGGTGTGGCGAGCAGGAGCAGGGAGGTCATTCTTTCCCTGTACGTGGCACTGGTGAGGCTGCACCTCGAGCGCTGTGTCCAGGTCTGGGCCTCTCAGTTTAGGAAGGACATTGAGATGCTTGAGCGTGTCCAGACAAGGGCAACAAGGCTGAGGGGCTTGGAACACAAGTCCTGTGAGGAACAACTGAGGGAGCTGGGGTTGTTCAGCCTGGAGATGAGTAGACTCAGAGGTGACCTTATCCCTCTCTACAACTTCCTGAAAGGTGGTTGTAGTCAGGTAGACGTCGGTCTCTTTCTCCAGGCAGCAACTGACAGAACGAGAGGACACCGAGGGAAATACAGGTTGGATAGTAGGAAAAAGTTTTTCATGGAGAGAACAGTAAAGTACTAGAATGGTCTGCTTGGGGAGGTGATGGAGTCACCATCCCTGGATGTGTTTTAAAAAAGACTGGATGTGGCATTCAGTGACAGGATTTATTTCAGGTGTTAAGGCACGGGTTGGACTAGATGATTTAGAAGGTCTCTTCCAGCTTCGTGATTCTGTGATTCTGCAATTCTGCAAGTGGCTCTCCACAGCTGTGGTGGTTCCACCCTCAGAGTCTACTCAAGACCTCAGGGACTTGCTTTGGGTGACCCTGCTTGAGCAGGAGGGGTTGAACTTGACGATATGAAAGGACCTGTCCAACCTCAACCATTCTGTAAAATCCAGAGATAGAGATCTACCTGGGAATCACCATGAGAATTTTAGCTACCAAAGAAACATATGGTGAACTTGTGTGAGAATACTAATGTGTACACAGATGTGCAATTTCATGTGACTTTAAAGCACTTGGAAAAGAGCAAGTTCCAAGGCCTCAAGCCAAGAGGGCAGTATTCATCAGCTGGCTCAATGGAGCAGGCTGGGAGGCAGGTGAAAAACTGGTTCCAGTTGTTCCCTTGCTCTCCTAGACTCAGGTGGGCAAGCCAGTGCACTGTTCTGTCCAGCTGCTGAGCTATCACCTCACTGTGACTCAAAAGGTGATGTGAACACAAAGGAGTTAAACAGGCAGAGCTCTGGTCAATGGTCTGGGAACTTGGAAAGTACATGACCACTTTTTTCCCAAATATGAGCAATGATGCTTAGATTGTTACCCATGGAAGAAAAGGAAGAAGAAAAATGGGGCAGAGAATTGCACAGAAATGAAACATAAGGAAGGTACTAGAGACGTTAAAAATACTAACATGTGTCCTGGGAGACTCTTTTGGAGTCAACTGACCTGTCCATATATGATTGTGGGCATGAGGCATCATCTCTGACTTCCACTCTTCTCCTTTTCACTGCTTCTTTCATTGCAGTACTTTCTGACATTTCATTTCTTCTCCTGACCTTCAAAACATTGCAAATTTGATATTGGTAACAATTCACTTTGACTTTTCTATTTTAGAAGAAAATTCATAACTAATGTACATTCATATTTTGCAAAAATTGTTCCTGCTTATACACGGAAAACCAGAAAAGGATTCAGGACTAAAACAAGCATTGGGAGGTCAGCCAGAGAATTATGCTCATCAGTTTTAAACAAAGTATTTCTTTCTAGGACATCCTATTTTTTTCATTTTCAGAAGACTGCCAAGGAACATAAGTAGCAGGAATGCAGAGATAAAAAAATTCCTTAGGGGAATTTGGATTTGAATTATTCTTCATTAATTCACTTCAGACACTTACCTATATGGAAAATAAATGTACCCTCAGCTCTCATTACACAAAAATTTCTCAAATAAGCATAACTTTGCTCTTTCTGACACAGTACCTAGGGAGCTACTTAATTACTCAACAATATCAACCTCACAGATTCTTCCAGTGAAGAAAACATTGGACAGCTCACTCAGGCTTGCAGAAAATCCATGGAACTGAAGGCAGCAGCTCTCAGGTCCTGATACAGGACTGCTTTCCAAGCCCAGAAGAACTTCTCTCCCCTTGGATGGTTCTAAGTGAGAATTCCGTGCCACTTTACACTGATTAACTCCTAGTGGTAGGAGAACTCTAGCACTGCCTAAATGCATATGTTCTTCTTCTCAAGAATACTTAGAACTTAAACAACAAAACAAAACCAAATGCACAACTTACAAGCTCATCACTGCCCTTGTTTACTTCTTTACCTGCAACAGAGGTATAAAACTTGGTGAATATTTAGACTGGACTTTCTTTAACCAATTGAAAAGTATGTCTTTGCACTGCAATTCCTATTCCAGGAGCAAGATAAACTACTGTGAAACAGTCTGGACCTTCATATAATACACTAAAATAGAAAATGTTCAAATACAGCTCTTTCTGAACCAGAATTCCTGGCTATGAACACCAGATATCAATGTGGTGGGACAACTGCTTGTCTTAAAGAAGTTAAAGGTGTTTTCAGAAAAGAAGGGCCTGAAGAACAGTTAGCATCTCGCTGTGCTTTGGGTACCAGATGCAAGGACATCTGGAACACAGCCTCTAGAGAATACTGGTCAGCTGTAGGACGTATGGGACTCAACGTATTTCCCTGAAGAAAAATTCCCACCAAGAGTAATTACAGATAAAGTCTGAAACTAATAGTGCCTTACACTGTTTCTAATTTTAGAATAGGAATGCTGTACAACTATCTGGATAGGGCAATTAAATACTGGAGCAGGTGTACAGGGAAGTGAGTGAACTCTCTATGGTTAGAAGTTTTTACATCCAAACATGGGATGTTTGATAGGGAATGCAAATAGGCGAGACTAAGAAATTACTAGCTGGCCATTTTATAAAGACCACGTTATCTGCTAAGTAGTTATTAAAAAAAAAAAAAGTAACTTTTTTTAGAGCCTGATAATCAGAACAGGAAATAGTAAGAATACTCAATTTTCACAACAGGGGAGTTTAAATGTAGAGTCCCACGGAAGCCTTAGCTGTGGCCTGAGGCTGTTCAGAGAATTCATAGAAAACCTGGAAAACGAGACACAACTGAGGTGAAAATGTTTGCTAATTATACGAAATACATTATTGCCATGATTACTATCTTTTTTTTTTTTACAAAAATCCATTCTCTCTTTAGGAAAATAGCAACAAAGAGTGTGATGTTCTATGTCAACAAATGTAGTCAAGCACAAAGAAGAAACATGTGTCCCATATACATGTATGTGCTGGCTCCAGCCCAATGACTGACATTAAAAAATGAACGTTGGGAGCCACTGGGCACTGCTTCACTTTAGCTCTATCAGCTAAAGAGTCAGTGGTGGTTGGAGAGACAAAGGAGAATTCAGGGGATTTTACAAAAGCAATACTAGACAATAAAGAACATCCTGTTATGCATTATTTCAAACTCAAGATACAGTCATCCCACATGCAGTTTTGCTCTCTCTGATTCAGATACAGTAGGCGAAGGAAAAGAGAAAAGCAAGACATAGATCATAGATGTTTCTGGAAATTACCCAAACATAATCACAGTGACTTACCACAAGATACGTTTTGCTGAAATGAGTTCAATTCTAGATACAACGTACAAATGTAGGGATAAGGCACAAGATGAACATTCTCATGTTTGAATTTCATCTTTGATACTCGCTCCCATTTACTCAAATCTGAGAAGAATGTTAAGACTTAAAAACGCAACACTAACATTTCAAAGGACATGAGTCCTGACAATGTCTTCTAAAGCTTCAAAAGTCACAGCACACTGCACATGTGCACAAGGGAGCAAATACAATCTGTTACTATGAACTTGTGAAACTGCACCAGTAACACACTACAGAAAACACTTATTCAGGTTTACGTATCCACTCTGCCCCATCAGTCACCTGTATTAATAGTGTTCTGTTCCCTTAACTGTGTTTGCCTTCAGTACTGACATTCTCCCACAAAAAAACATGCCAGGCTCTTCTAAAGCTATGAATAAAACTTCCCCCCGCAATCTTCCTAATTAAATTATTTTAGATTTTTATTTAAAAATTGTAAACTATTTGGATTCATAGATGCAGCATAATTAAATTTACTTCACAGTTCAAAATGGGGGAAAAAAGATAATTGACATGATAACCACTACATTTACAGCTATTCCTTCATGTGAGTGCACTTCTGACATCCAGGAGCTTCTGCCTGGAAGAACAAATGGTGCTGGACTTAAATCTCTTCATTCACCTCTGATATCAGGGAGAAACATGTGAAATGAATACTGTTAGTCCACACTTGCTAGCAGAAACTAACATCCTGGGGACAAAAGACGATGAAACATTTATACAATAAGTTCCCTGAAGGACTGAAATTGCCTGGTTTTTGGCTTGAAGGTTGTGGGAGCTAAGACAGACACTATTGTGGATTTAATTAGCATATGCAGTTTGATAACCAAGATGCCTTGGCAAGAGCAAACAGAACTTTGAAAATTACAAGAAGATTGGATCAAGACTGGTGACAGGAAAGAACATTGAACTAAGTAGAAATGTAAAGTTTATCAGTGTGATGTTTAACCCAAAGAATGCAGTAAAAAATTACTAGCCTTCCTAAAAATGGTATATAAGCATATGTAGCTCACAGTAAATTTGGATTCTGATCACCAGTCAGTAGTCCCCATCTCTCTCTCAATCATCAATAGAAGGATTCATAGCTGGTGATTAACAAAGAGTCACACTACAGAGAGGAGCCTGACACACCAACTGTAAGACAACTCCTCATGCCAGGCTTCTGAGCTCACAGTTCTCTTCCAGGCCCAGTGCTGGCTGAGCATGTGGATGGACTCACAAGTTCTATAAATATAAGTCTGTATACCAAATACTCCTCAACACACAGGCAGAACTGGCTGCACTTTAGAGAAGCAAACCAATAATGTTGGCTGTGTTGGGTGTCTTCTGTATAATGATGCTCTTGGCTACCTTATTGTCTTGATTCTAACAGGAATAAGTTGCTGTCATATGGAGCTGCTTTGGACAGAAAAAGAACGGCCTTGTTCCTGCCTGCTATTAGGAGGTATAATGCAGTCTTCTAATACAGAAGGGGAATGCCTTGGAGGTGTTCATTACTCCTGGGCACTCAGAATCACAGGAGATGATGCCAGATCTTATCCAAATGCTGACACACCTTTAGGACTGTAAAACACTAACATTTAACTGAATTATTTTTCTCTTCAACAAAAGCCTCAGGAGAGTAGCTTCTTAACCCATTACAAAACAGCAACTACAAAAGAAATATTAACGGTTACCATCTCTTTTATCAAATTATTGTCAATATAAATTTATAATCTGCAGAATTTGTACCAGACACGAGTAAATTCTGTCCAGTTGCACAAGCCAGAACTAAAAAAATGAAGGCCAGTCTTGGTGCATTCTGATGAAAAATCACCTAGAAAGCGGAGGAGCCTGTAGTACAGCTGCTAGCTAGAACAATCCAATCTCAAATGCATGTCAATATTCAAGTATCAGCTTCTACACAACTATGCTGTGCAATTGTATAGAGCTTTTACAGCACTGTCTGTAGACAACAGGCCAGACTGACAGCAGCTCAATGCCTTTTAGGGGAGATGGAAAAAAATCTGTTGACTGGTCCCACAGGAGTGAGGGGCATGAGCACAGTAAGGTGAATGACACAGTAAGGTGCAGGTGACATTTGCTTCATATTAGGCTTCAAAGATGTTCACTGAAGAGGGGACCAGGATAACTGAATGACAATCCTGCAGGCTTTGTGTGTTCAAAAGCTTGTCTGGACTTGCAATTATCTTAGCTCAACTATTGTTTTGTTCCTTGTAAAGCTCATTCTGTGAGGTGATTTTTGCTTCTCTCAGCCATCTCTGTGGAAATATGAGCACAGACTCACCACTTGCTCCCACCCTCCATCCCAAAAGGCTCATGCTGGTTTAACCTTGAGCGACCTCACAAAAACAGCACTGAGTTTCCCTGCCCATGGGCCTGCATTGCTGGGCCTGTAAGGAGTGCTTTACATTCTACGAACCTTTGGGAACAATGCACTGGCTGCGTTTGCAAGTGCATGAGGTGGACTTCCTGGCACTTCATATACATCTTCATTTGCTTTGGCTAAACCTAATTTGGAATGCAGGGCTGTGTGGATGAAAACACTGCAAAACACTCTCGTCACATCAGTTCTCTGGTGAAGGCAACACCTGAAGTGTTCACAATACCTTCAGCCAATGTCAAACTGCAAAGATCGAAGTAGTACTACTCCAGCTAAAGATCTGCACACTCCTACACATAAATATCGACTTACGCAATCCCCAACAGATACAAGTCATTGAACCTTGTCTTTTATGAGTTGAAAAGAAAGGATACATGGATATACAGTGAAGTGGTCTGTAGAAAATGGATGTAAATCATCAAGATTTCCAAGGATCACTCGGATCACTTCCTGGAGAGGCCAAAAATATAAACAAAGGAAAGATATTAAAAATATAGTCACAATTCCACTGTCAAGTGCACTTTCAAGGCTTGGAAAAAAATTAACCTTACTTGACAGTTTGCATGAATCATGGAAGACCAGGTTCTAGATATTCTGCTTTTCTTCCTCCCCTTCTTCTCTCTGCTCCCTCCCACCATTTTAGAGTGCACTGCACTGACAGACTCACAGAAATTTAGGTGAATGAGTATCTTAATCTTGAAATAACAAAGATGAATGACTATGGAAATAGAGGTGTGCTTTTAAATTTAAGAAGTTTTAAACTTAAGGAATGTCATTTTATTTTTCCAGCAAAACACACATAGCATTTACCTACTCCTCTTTCTCTGAATATTGACCCAAATCAGCTACAAAGGAACTGCAGTTAAGCCCCAACAAACTCCTCCTCTACAAACACAATTTTTTTTCTAGTAATATCTTTCAATGTTTTCAAAAGTGAAAAAAAAATTCTTCCTATCAATTAAAATCAGCACATTTTCTTCAGTAAGGTTTTTAATGCTATTACTGTACTCTGAAGACTTCTAGAAATTAAGTAATAGGAAGGAGCATTTTTAAGCAGGCAGCATATTTGTCTCAATTTCTTAGTAATGGCAGGGGCCTTCTGTCTCAGGAAGAAGATGACAACAATAAAACTCATCAATTGTGACCATCAATTTGTGCTTGGACACAAAGCAATGGCACCATTAAAAGAACGCCCATTGATTCCACAGTTGCAAGAAAAGCATGTACAATTTAGAATTAGATTAGACTCCATCAAGCCAGCTCACCAGCACTGCCACAGCTCCTGAAAAACCAAGAATCAAGCCTGACAGCTTGAAAGTGGTGGTCAGTTTCGAGGTTGAGACTGAAATCCTGGGAAGGAGCTCCTGCAAGAATGACTCTGAAGAAGAATCAGACAGGAACTGGGTTCGACTAGCTCAACAAACAGGAGTTTCCATTTGTCCAAATTTAAGAGTCAGTAGCTTCTCTGGAATATTTCAAACAAAAGCATGACTTCTACACCAAATTTTGCTTGTTCAGGAACATTTTTCGTTTATGCAATTTTTTTTTCCATGCTCAGACTCTCCACGGAAGTTCCCTGTTACTCACACTTGAAATGCTACACTAGACAAAATGCTCTCAGTCCTGTAACAAGCAGATGATTTGTTCAGCCTAACACTCATCTGAGGTCCTATAGACCTGCCTCAGCTCCTACCTCTGACTCCTTGGCAGCACTTTCAGTGACACTGAGACTGGGAGAGCTGTGAAACAAAGAGAGAGTTGGAACCCAGGAAAAAAGCAACTAAGCTGCATTTCATGTAAGAGTTTAAACAGCAACAAAACAATTCTCACTGAGCTGGACAAAATACTTAGCGGGCAGATTAAATCCTAATCTATTATTATTAAGAAACATCTCTTATTCACAAGGATTTTTCCCTGTGAATTTTCTATCCACTTGTGTTTTATGTTTTAAGGTCTTGCATTAACTCACGGACACATGCAGTCAACAAACAGCAGGCTGACTTCCTGGCTTTAACACACATACCTGTTGAAGCTGCCATACCGGAATTTAAATTTGTACACATGCCTGCCAGCATGAAGAAATCTTGTTTCGGGCAATGGGTAGGTGAACGGTTTCAACGACATCTCTCTCTCTCCCTGAACGCCAGACTAGGAAAGCAGAAGAGTCAAAGGCTCATTCCTAAAACCCTTCACCATATCACGTTCTGTCATATGAAAATATTATATGCACTTTCTCTTTCAGGGGACATTTGCAGAGAGAACTCTCCTACCAGTCAGCAAACAGCTGCTCTGAATATCCCTTTCAATAGTGTTTTTGAGTACGATGCGAAGACAGAGCGTCGGTCACCTCGTCTTCAGCTGCGCTGCCCCGCAACTGTCTCTGCCGAGGCCCAGCTTCACTGGCCTCCTGCCCCGGGGCTGGCAACCCCCTCAGCAGGGCCCGGGGGGCCCGCGACCGGCACTGATGCGAGGGAGACCCCAGCTACGGCGGATCCCGGCAACCTCCGGGCGTCCAGCCCGCAAGAACTCGTTGCTCCCCACCCCCAGCGCACGTCCCAGGTGCCGATCGGCTGCCCCCAGGAAGGGGCGGAGAGCCCAAGCCCGCTGGGGCAAGGCCGAGCCCCCTGTGGACGCCGCCAGCGTCTGGCCCGCCAGACGCGAGACGTCGCCTCCTTCCCTGGGGCCGGGGAGGCCTGAAAGGCCTCAGGACAATTGCGGCGCCTACCGTCCACCCTCTGCTCCACGTCCCCCCTCCCGCCACGCCCACTAAGGCCTCGCCTCCGGCCGAGCCGGGCCGGGGACTGCAAACTGAGCGGTGCCGAGCGGAGCCGAGCGGAGCCGAGCGGAGCCGAGCGGAGCCGAGCGGAGCCGAGCGGAGCCGAGCGGCGCCGAGTGGCGCCGAGTGGCGCTCAGCCGATCATAGCCGAACCGAAGCGAATGGAGGCCGAACCAAGGCGAGCCCAGGCGAGCCTAGCCGAACCTAACCGAGGCCAGCCTAATCCCGCAGAGGCCAGCTGAGCCCAGCTGCAGATAGGGAGGGGGGATATGGCCCAGAGCGGGTCCGCAGCTCTACAGCCCCTTTCCCCTGAGGGGTGGCGGGTGCTGGAGTTGGCCGGGGCTGGGCTGCTGAGGCGGCATCTCACATGAGGCAGAGGCGCCATGAGGCACAAGACCTGCCGCGAGAGGGGCAAGGGTCGATACTTAGCCACTACAGCACCTCTTGCTTTTCCCTTTCTGACTCACGCAACTCCGTTTCGACTTCTGTTGCAGCCCCTGTTGTCCTCCCTTTATATAGCTGGAACATTTTATATACTACGTCTGTTTAAGAAAGACTGGAATTGAAAGATCTTTACCCACAGTGCTGATATCCAGGGACTGATACATCATCCCTCACCGCTGAGATGAAGTCCAGTTTCTATAAGTAGCTGCATGATGGTGCCCCTCAGCATTGGTAAAGACATGATGCAGAGAACAATTCAGCAGCTGCTGAACAATTTTGAATTGATTTTCACTGTTGTTTTGTTAAAAAAAAAAAAAAGTAAAATAAACTTTGGAAGTCAGGAAGTAGATTGGTGCATTGCTTTCATGCACAAGCAGTGTGCTTTTGTAACTACGGGAAAATGATGTTCAAGCAAGCAGATAAGGCAGTGGAAAACACGGCTTCATTATTGTGACAATTGATAAAAGATTCGTGTTAATCACAATAGCATTGGGGTTTGCATAAACCAGAATGTTAAGCTCTGAAGTGAAGCATGGACACTAGATAAAGGAAATTATATGATTAAATAATTCTGTTTAAAATCACCTTGTTATGTTATATTATGTTGTATTATGTTACATTA